AAAGCAGCAGCAGTCGGGGGAGAGGGGAAGGCGAAGAGAGGGGGCACGCCTCTGAGCATGAAGGAGAAGGATGTAACTGGGCTAATCAGTTACCTGGGTAATTCCTCATCCTTCCAACAACACAGCAAGCAGAACCAAAGGCTTCATGCTTGTCACCGAGCAAGACAATATTAGAACGTGTTTACTTGAAATAAATGTGCATTTTGTCAACTTAGCATATGCAAAATGCCTGATAATGTTGGGGTCTCTATTGCAGTCTGTTATACATACCCAGACCCTGAAAAGAATTATAGCATCATAGAAAATGAGGGTGGGAAGGGACCACAGGAGGTCACATCTACTCCACCCCCCCCCCACTGCTCAAAGCAGGACTATCCCCAACTAGATCATCCCAGCCAGGGCTTTGTTGAGCCAGGCCCTAAAAACCTCCAAGGATGGAGTTTCCACCACCTCTCTGAGTAACCTGTGCCCGTGCGTCACCACCTGTCTAGTGAGAAAGTTCTTCCTAATATCTAACCCGCTGCAACTTGAGAGCATTGCTCCTTGTTGTGTCATCTGCCACCACCAGGAACAGAAGCAGCTGAGAGATTTCAAGAAGAGAGCGCTGAATTCAGGCCCAAAGAGGTGTTGAAACTAATAACAGGCAAATCATTTTCTAGCTTTTGGATCACTGTTTAATTAGAAGCGTCCTGGCAGTTGTCTCCAAATCGGTTGAACAAAGTGATGCATTAAGCTTGTGTGACCGCTCTGACCTGGAAAATGATCAACCTGCCTGGAGAAAAAACAGCAAGAGAGAGATCTGCAACAGCTCAACATTTCTCCAACAGGAACACGTGCAGCCTTTTTTCTTCCAGCACATACTTCATTTCCAATTGTGGCCAACGCCTTTGTAACCCCAGGAGAGTTTCTAATGGGTACAAAAAAATGCAGCGTGTGGATATTGTGTGTGAGCTCCAAAACGATCCCTGCATGTAAACACGATCCTCAACACAAAACCGCCCAAGAAACAGAAAAGAGACAGTTTGAGGGGGGACATGAGACGGGTTTACAAAACACCCAGTGAAGAGAAAGTCAGTAGGGATTTGTTATTGACTCTCACAGGACAGGAACTGGGGGTCACGCCATGAAGCTGCCAGGCAGCTGGTTTAAAAGGAAGACAAGGAGCTTGTTCAGGGGTGGACGTCCTCGCCCCCAGGGGTGGGGGCAGCCAGATACAAAAGGGAGCAAAGGGGCATCCCTCCCTAGACCCGACATGCTGAAGGCTGCAAGGGAGAGAGGAGCCAGCCCCAGCCCACTCTGCCTTCCAGCCTCCCCTAGCGTGACCTGAGCCCGGACAACTGGGGTCTGCGGTCTGACCCCTCAACGCCCACTCTTATTTCCTAGTCTGCACTGCGTATTTTAAAGCGGGGAGGGATAGCTGCCGTGTCCCCCCCTGGTGTCCTCTGAGCAGGTCTCCTGCCCCTGCTCCGCCCGCCCCCCCTCCCCCGCCCGCCGTGGGGGTCAAAGACCAGGCTCTTGCGGTGCCTCAGTTTGCCCACCTGCACAAGGGGGCGGGGGGAAACCTGACCCGGGCTGCGGAGCCGGCGGGGAGCGCAGCCCGTGCA